CTTTTACATACCATTCCAAAACGCAATCAATTTTTGGTGGTATCACAATACCTTCAAAACACCAAACAATGTCAAGATGTACTTCTGATACATTCCATTTCACTGCAACCTTGTATCGGATGTGGTTCTCACGTGACTCGCCAATGTGGATATTCAAAACAGTTTTATATAACGTACTAAACCCTTTGATGGTGGAGAATGTAAACGTAGATTTTACTTTAGACAAAAACGTCCAGTTTAAAGGCTCCTGTGGCTCAGCGGTTGAGCCCTTTTAACGCCAAAAATCAGTTTTCGACGTGGTGGACAGAACCCAGACAGTCCATTGTGTAGCTTTGTGCTTATCAACAAATGAACAAACAAAGTAGAAACCAGTTTAAATATAAGTTAACCCTCCTATTTCTTCATCCAAATAATCTGAATTAATAGGCATGAACAAATATTTATCAAGTTTGGTCGGTTTGCTACTAGAGGCACTAGCAGGAGGGTTCATATCTTAATCAATTACAGTATGTATATTTCTAATAAGTAAAAATACTGGAAATATTACGGCAATAAAATACTAATGTACCCTGATGGCTCAACGGTAAACTACATGGCTTATAACACAAAAATAAAGCAAATTGAAGAATATTTGTAAATATTATAGTATGCACCCTGCTGACATAAGAAATATTATGTAATACCATAACAGAATTTCATTCTGATGAAACCTAAAAAATGAAAAAAGCATTTTTAAAAATATTGTAGCCAAACTGTATTTGTCTCGCAAAAAGGAAAATATCTCAGACAGTAGCTTGTTCGTGATTCATCTTTCCTTTTGTAGTTTCAGAGTTGGTATATTCTGATATCTCTATTTCCAGTCCTCCTAAGTAAAGTATAGAAAACCCTGACGACACACACATTCTAGTGATGCATGAAAATGAGCGTCTTTTTAAAACTCTTATAATTGGACAGACCAATAAAACTATCAAGTATGGAGTACTTTAGTGTAAGGAAACTTACATGTGAAAAAAGAATTGATATTTTGTAATAAACATAAACACTTGTTTCAGAAAGGCGTGAATGTGGCTGCACAACTTACACGAATAAATGTTGTTTTCGTGAAATAATAGAAAAATAATAAACATTCTCCATATATATATTGTTACTACAGTGTAATTAATTTTTAGAAAACTTATTCGAAAAACATTTATTTAGATTTAATTTTTCGAAGATAAAATTAATCAGCATTTCGTCACATGACAAGCATTCAGCTAGTCTTGTAATTTTGCCTATCTCCATGTCGTGTTTTGAGTACCGTCTGAAACGAGCGCTACTCTCAGTGGCCAGATCGTGGTTAGCAGTAGAAGTTAGTTTACTGTTGAGCACTTTGAATACACTGCTTGAGGGTATCGGTTAAAGGAAGCAAAAATGTTATAAAGAACAATGTTAGATAATGTTCCCTTTCCTTCTTCTTTTTGAGGGTCGCGGGTTCGAATCTCCGTCCCACCAAACATGCTCGTCTTTTCAGCCGTGACGGTCAATCCCACTATACGTTGGTAAAAGAATAGCCCAAGAGTTGGCGGTGGGTGGTGTTGACTAGCTGCCTTCTCTCTAGTCTATCACTTCTAAATTAGGGACCTTAGATCTCGAGTAGCTCTGAGCAAAATTCAAAAAACGATACCTAAAGGTAGACAATAATATATCTGTATATATGTTGTAGTTGTTGGAAATAATAATTTCCCTGAAAGGGGGCCGAAGGCCGTCTGAAGGGGTCACCTGTTTTAACCACTCGCACCACAGTAGTGTGTTATCTGTTAGTCAGTCATATAATATAATGACGTCATATAAGGGACGCTTCATATTGCAATTTGTACTGTCTTGACGACAGTAAAACGTGCGTACGCACCGAATCACGAGAAGAATTATGCACTCTGTGGGCTACAACACAGTATGACATATGAACTTCAATGTGGGCTACAACACAGTATGACACATGAACTTCAATGTGGGATACAACACAGTATGACATATGAACTTCCAAAGCAAGAAATAGAAATATCTATTATTCTTAGTTTTATTTACTATTGAAACAGAACACTTTCGCGGAAGTACATCTAGTAATAGTTTGCTTTTTGTATTTTTATTTTCTTGGTTGAGGCCATTTAGGCTTCGGAAATGTAATAATCAATACAAACTTGCCCAAAGAACAAGTAGATCTCATAAATATGCACTACCGGCACTTATGTTTAAATTTTTTTTTAATTATAATAAATAATTAAAAACAACGTTTTATATTTACACAATAAAAAGTTTATTGAAGCCGTATGGTTCCACTTTAAAATATCTCTCTACAAGTACATGTTTCGACGTGATCTATGAAACATGTACGTGTAGAGAGATATTTTAAAGTGGAAC